CCTGTTTACTACCATGCAGTTGTAAAAATCCCGCTGTCCAATTAAGTGTGCTTTCCACTTCTATTTATAAAACATCGCGTCGATAAACTTCATGTGGATAATTTAATTTCGCCGATTAATGTTATTGGCAGGGAGCCGTTGCAATTACAGGTAGTTTTATATTTATTCCGAGCCATATCATCCAATCAAATAAACTGCCATTTTTATTCGCCACTACCCATCTACTGCAGCTTCCAATCTTCCACTCCTATGACCTTGCTAAGCTTCTACATTCATTCATATTCAAATCCTTAACCACCACCATTTGGAATTATTCACTTTTTTAAATATTTTAAACCTTAACAAATACAATTGACTTGCAAGTTTCAGCTTGTTGTTGAAATTGCTTTTACTCAAATAACTTTATCGTCTAGGACATAACTTTATACACTTTCAAAGTTCGAAAGTGTTTAAAATTTGTATTGTTCCGGGTTTGCAAATTTTGATTTGATTATTTTTTAAGATACTATTATTTTATACTTGTTCCACATTTATCCACATTAAATGTTTATGTTTATTTATATTTGTTAAATTTGGGTAAATGCGACAACATAGGCATACACCAGCAGCATATGCAGAAAATATGAATTATTCAGGCAAAATAACTGAATAACGTTTGGAAATTTTTAACAGGATTAATTCATTTTCACTCACTCATAATATAATTACGAAAAATGGATAGGGGTAATGGTGGAATTACCTCTGCAAATTTAATTTTGGTGTTATGCAAAGCAGCAACAGCAGCAGTAGGGGAGATCAACGATGGTATTTATAAAACAATTGTATAAATTATGGCCGGCGCTCCCTTTCATTAAATATTTATAACTTTTGATTTAATGCTTAAAAATAACCTTTATTTTTAATGAAATTCCATTTGCTGATTTGATGGGGGACTCCGACAAATATAAATACTTCATTTTTTAAACAATTTTGAATTGTGAAATTTGATTGAGTAAAACCCAATGCAACCGATTCTTTACCAAAAATTAATGTTTAACAAAATTTAATTTATATACATTGTGAAGTAAAGTTACTAAAATAATTTATTTATTATGATTTATTTGTTTAGGACTGTAAAGGTGAAGGTAGAAGGTAATAAGATAAGTTTACCTAATCAAGTTTTTATCTACACGAAGACAACTGCACTTCTCATGTTCGGGAATGATTAACGAAAAATCAAGTAAATTGGAAACAGCTTGGACATTTAAAGAGTTTTATCTACTCCTACATTAACTAGCTGTGACTTTATGATGTTTTAGTCACGGGCTGAAGTTAGCAGTAGTGGCTTTTGGGCATTTTATTCACGGGCGGAAGTTAGCTTTATTATAAATTAGAGAAAAGTGAGGTTAATTCCGTTGACATTTGACAGATGTCAAATGTTTAACAAATAAAATTGGATTTAAATTCTTCTTTGTGGTCGTCGTAGATGAAGTATAGTATGCAACTCGTTTTATAAACTTATCTAGACACTCGTTTTTATTAAACACTCGCTTGCAAGCTTCGCTCGTGCTTAATAAAACTCGTAACTAAAATGGCGTTAATAAAACTTGATAAATAATATACTATAATAATCATTACTAAACACACAAGTACTTGCTGTGTGTTTTTAATGATTTTATGCTTTAAACCCAAGAGTTTGTGAATAATTACACATAAGCCCTTACTTTTAAAATGCCCAAGCTGTCACCAATTTACTTGATTTTTCGGTATGTATTGTGTATTTTCTGTTATCTATCCATATATGGAAATTTGATATGGAGTTTTATTACATTTCCATGGTATTATAGCAAAATTTCGTACTCTTGATTCTTTAAAATATTTAATATTGCTAAATGAGCAATTGTTCTGTTAAATTTCATAAAATGGAAAAAAATAGTCCTTGTTAAAGACTTTGGAGATAAAATCCTGCCACTGATACATAGGGCATGCAATAGCGGGACGGTGCTATAAAATAACCCAAAAAATGCAATATGCCTTCTTAGAAGCTCGAATAGGTATTATTATGTTTATGATTTTATTGATATTGTGCGCGCAGGGGTGCGAATGCGATACAAAGGGAAGATAAATCAATATTTCACTAAATGCGGAACAGTATATTTGAATTTTCAGCTCGTTAGCAATTCATTGAATAGCACTTTTTTAATGTGGAAGCCAATATGTTACGGAGATAAGTTAATAGCACCCCGTAATACCTCTCATCATGTTGAATAATACCTATACTAATATGTTTTCAAGTTATTTTTATTTCAATGATTTTTAATAGAATATAATGTATCAAGTTTTATAACCGCCATACATTGGCACGTATAGCTTCATCACATAGTGGACTGTAAGGTTTCTTAGGATCAAAATTTTTGTAGCAGACGGTCAAAAATTTGGGTTTTTGTATTACCAGAGGAGCTACAGTTAAAAATAATTTTCCACCAGAGTTTGTATGAAAGGGGGAAAGTTCTTTCCATCCATTTTAGCCACGAATATAATTATTTCCGATCACGAATATCCTGGCAACCGGCTATTCGCTATGTGCATGGGCCAATCGTCATTAGTCGACTCACAAGCCGTTAAACTTAAACGGTGGGCATGGTCAGAACCTCAGAACTGATTCTAATTTCACGTTACATGTCCTCCTTTAGGTAGGTACCTTGCCTTTGCTGCCTGCACTAGATTATAATTACACTTCTCGCCACCCCTTCAATTATGCCCCCAGCCCATAAATTATCAACTTTTCCAACCGGCTGTTTAGATTTAATAATTGAGATTTAATAATTGTATTTTTACGACAAACGTTGAGTTACTGCGGCTGCGTCTTCTTAACTTTAAACGGTTCGTGAGATTTATTTACCTAGCTTTATCAACGCAATTGCCAATCCATCTGAATTACATTTTGTTACTGGAATTTTTAAATTGACCAATAAACTATTGACTATGATATAATAATAAATAAATAGGTAGTTATCTAATCAGACAGTTTTATGTTTAATTGAAAGGTCACTCCAAGATGTAAAACTTTTTTCAGAAAACGATTTTTACATTTACATTTGTATCACATCACAAACTTTATTTTTTGGGTATTTTATTATTATTATTGTTATTATTATTATTATTTAATGTTTTTATCCATTTTTTAGGGTGTCTTGACATATATTTAACTTTTTTATTGCAGTAATGGATAATCCTTGGTCTCTATTTTTGTTTTAGATTTTTAAATTACAGTCGATATTTTTCCAAATTTTCACAAAAATATCGACTGCAACATACACATTAATCTACATTTTTATGCATTTAAAATTCCCAAGAATATCGCAGTTATAACAATTTTTGGTTTTGGACCTATATATTATAGTTAAATTACAACAATTTTTGTTAAAAATTTAAAAAATAAATTTGAAGGTAATTTTTGGGATCCGGTTGGGTTGTTAAAGAGGGTGGGTGTTCCTGTAGAGTAGGTCGAGTGGGTTATCAAAAGTTTCCATTTTTTTTAGCTGATTAACTTGACAAGTGTCGTTTTTTCAAATTTTTTGCCGTTCAGAGCGGATATTTCGATTGGAGTTCTTGGCCACCCTGAATTTTTAAAATACTGCATAAACTCGTGCTGATTTTTTTTTATATTTTTGAAATTTTCATGGCGGTTTATTTACCACGTAGTTTAGCTATCTCAAAATTTCAATTATTTTGAATTACGTTTGGTAATAGCTATTTTCGCGGAGCTAATCCCGAACTAATTCCGGACATACTAGGCATGCGCTTTTTAAAATTTGGGGTTTAAAATGTAAAGTGCGCTTGACAAATATTAAAATGCGCATGCCTAGGATGTCCGAACTAGTTCGCGATTAGCACCGCGAAAACACCTAATAACTTAAAAGTACCAGGATCTGGGATTTTTCGGAAATCTGACAACATCGCATTGTATCATCGCCTTTCTGCTATCCTAATAAAAATCCGAAAATCGCAAAATTTTAACAAATAAATGGTTTAAATTTTTCTGGCAACATCGCATTGTATCAGGAGTATACCTCTTCGCCTTTCTGCTATCCTAATAAAAATCCGAAAATCGCAAATTTTTAAGAAATTTTAAAAAGTACCAGGATCTGGGATTTTTCGGAAATCTGGCAACATTGCATTTTTACAACGTTGTCGGGTTTCATTTTTGTATGGGAAAAAATAAAGCAGTAAGAATGTATTGTAAATATTTATTAAAATTAAAAAAAAATCCTTCAACAAATTCAATAATATAACAGTTGTACCATTGCTGAATTTAACAAATTACGTACACTTTACACAAATATACATTTTTTCGTGATTGCATTTAAAAAAAAATACATCTTTTCTGTATACATCTCGCTAGTATTACCTACATTATTGTTTATGTAGTACATAACAAAAACATAACGATAAAAAACAAAAGGATTTTTTGGTGATTTTTACTTGTCAAGATGTTCCAACTGACTCAGTCTTTATCACCTCGGATTGTTAAATTAAAGACAAATTTATCTAGTTTACAAAAATAGTCACACATATTTGGCGACTTCCATGCGTTCCTAGTGTAGCGTAACCGTCTCCAAGAAGGCGGGGCGGTCTCAGAGGGGTAAGAGTTCGTTGGTAAAAAGGCAGATATGACCAGATGAAGTGTTTATTAATGGTATGGTCTTTGATAACACACTACAAAATATGATGCAAGTTATACACGTGTTCTGCAATCACCCTATACATCCAAATAAGTTTTATATTAAAATAAAGACTTACCTAAAAAATATGAGCAGTCACGTCTATTTATTACCCAAATGCAATATTAAAAATATTACTGGTTTAAACAGTGTTCAAAAGTCTCACACCTTGTGGCTATGTTGAACTTGACCAAAAAAACAGGAAATCTGGGGTGCGCAAAGCAGTCGCAGAATCGCGGCAAAAGTTTAAAAAAGCCTGTTAGGCAACCACGATTACTTATTGGCACAACTGGTTGCCTACCTCTGGGCGCATGAAAATAATTCTGCTTCACTAGATATTTAACAAAATGGAAAAGAACGTCAAAAAATAACTTTTATGTTTATACACCAATACATAAGATTAAAGCACATTATACAAAATTCGACATGTCCTACGCTACCAAGTTATGTTTAAAAAAAAATTTTAAATGTGCACCAGTTCATTTAACTTTTTTTTAAAGTTATTAAAGAAAACGTCTACTACGTAGGTACCTACATTAAGTATGACAAAAATATATAACCAAACAGAAAACAATTTTTAATCTTTATTAACTTTTTAGTTCATCATGCGGCTCAACTCCAGTTAAAACGCGCTGGCGGGTTCCAAGTGCCTGTTGATTTTGTCCTCGGTGAAGTTGTTTGTTTGTGCTTCAAGGCGAAGAATGATGCTGCGCTGCAGAAGTTCCTCCCTGTGTTTCAGGCAGAATTTGCCAAACTGTCTGGACATGGAGGATGTGGATTGGTTCTTGGAAAATGTTTCTATCTATCCTCTGGAATTGCTCTAAAAACAAATTTAAAAAATTCAATTGTGCACCAGGTCCTGTAACATTTGTACAGGTATTTTAATAATTAAAGGGAATTTTGAATTGTTTTAGAAAATATATAAAATGTATATATTTTCATTTAAAACGAAATTTTTTTTTCTTGCTGACACTTTTTGGTTTTTAGGTTGAAAAAAAAATTCCCTGAAGATTTGAGCCCTTAATTTTGATTTTAAGTACTTCCTTTTTAATTTTGTAGTTTTTCCATATAAAAAGCATGTATTTTTAATCATTTTTATTTTAAATTTCTTTTTTGGCCGGGTTTTGAATTATAATTTTTATCACCATAATTTTCTGCATAGTATTCACGGTTTTTGAAAGGCCCTGCATCAATTTTGTTTTTGATTTATTTACGTTGATTGTAGTAGCTCCAAAAGTCGTTTTTTCACTTTCTCTCACATATTTTTGAGAAAATCGAGCGAATGACTGGTTTTACCGAAAAAGTTCAAATACAAAAGTTGTAGGAAATTTAATTTTTGACAAAAAAGGTTTCTACGTTCATATCACTAAAGTGCTTTGTTTAAGAGATATAAGCAATATATAGTTGTTGAATCAAATTACATAAATTTCAATAAAACCTATTTTTTCTTTCTTTTTGGTTAATGAATTGCTTATATCTCTTAAACAAAGCACTTTAGTGAGAACCTTTTTGTCAAAAATTAAATTTCCTACTACTTTTTTATTTGAACTTTTTCGGTAAAACCAGTCATTCGCTCGATTTTCTCAAAAACATGTGAGAAAAAGTGAAAAAAACGACTTTTGGAGCTACTACAATCAACGTAAATAAATCAAAAACAAAATTGATGCAGGGCCTTTCAAAAACCGTGAATACTATGCAGGAAATTATGGTGATAAAAATTATAATTCAAAACCCAGCCAAAATATAGAAATTTAAAGTAAAAATGATTAAAAACACATGCTTTTTATATGGAAAAGCTACAAAATTAAAAAGGAATTACTTAGAATAAAAGTTAAGGGCTCAAATTTTCAGGGAATTTTTTTTTCAACCTAAAAAACAAAATTTTCATGTGTCAGCAAGAAAAAAAAAATTCATTTTAAATGAATCACCCTAATATACATATTAATAAGCGCTTCCATGCCTTTCTAGATAATCATAAAAATTTGTCAAAACTTTTTTGTTAAAAATTTTACATGCAACATTATTTTTTTAAATTCAAAAGGTTTTTAAAGTTTTACTTGAAAAATTTTAAGGATTTTGGTGAAATTTTTGAGAAAATTATATATAATTTAGATACTAATTCCTATAAAATTATGCAAACTGTGTTTCATTATGAACTAAAATAATTAAGTCAGGACAGTTTAAAAAAAAACTAAATTATTTTTTTAAATTAAAAAAAATCATAGAGTTGGAGTTTTTAGCTGCAACCTTTAGGGGAAATTCAAGTTTTCAATTTGCACCTTTAAATGTCACAAGTCATGGAGCCTAACAAAGAGTCCAATAGGGGAAATTGACAAAACCCGCCCAGTAAATTGCACAAATTAGGTTTTATTTTTTTACCATTGTTGATGCGTACTGACGTGTGCTGTTTTGGTAGCATTTCAGTACAAATAAAACAATCAACAGAACAGCAGCGCCCTCTTATTTCCGAGATTTTTGTATATATAAACTCCTTGTGTAGGCTTCATGGTCACAAGTGATCAACAAAAAATGACAGTTGACACATGTCAAATATTACATTTTAAATGGCACAAAAAATCTAAAATTTACCTTTCAATGATGTGTGCTTCATCCAGTATGACAAAGTTCTTGCTCAAAACAATGCCGAGACTTTTTCTGACAGGCATGAAGATATCTGCCTCCTTTTGGATTTCCCAAGCCATGTAATACGGACAGTCCATCACCGGAATCTCTGAGACAGCAGGGACTTCTTTCTTACATTCCACGCGGTTGTAAAAATGGTAACTGCTTGTTTTCACTTTTAAACGGCACATCTGGGTCTGCAAAAAAATATTTAATTTGAATTTTGAATAATTTACTGTTTAATAAATATTTACCCTGGCAAAATTGCTTTGTTCCTTCATCACTTCTAGATGTATACACATTTACTCCCTTGATCCTATAATGCAAGCCTTCATGTGCCTGCAATAACTGAGTATGCATTCTCGAAGCGTATATGATTGTATGATGGTCAATCCATGAAGGCCCGTCCGCTGTTGCCTGAGTTATTTACCGTCCCTTTATCCATTTTTCCAGTCAATTCTCTCAGCAGATTCCCCATGAAAGCCTGCTTCTCCTCACAATGCTTTTCATTCTCTGCGCCTGAATTTGCGCTTTCTTTAGCTGCAACCAGCCCAAAGTCGAGCACAGCAACGACAGGGTCTTGCCGGTCCCAGTGGGCGACTCCAGAACGCCATTTGTTTCGTTTTGCAGGCATTCAATCACCTTGTCCATGTATTCTCTCTGTAACTCGTACGGTTCGAAAGGGAATTCAACAGCAACACCCCGTATATTTATCGTGCTGAAAAATTCTTTCGCTTTATCAGCCAAAAAAACTGTTTTATTATAGTACTCGTATAACATTGCGAAATCTGTTTGTTTTTCTTTGAGGTTATGTTTTTTACCGCGCAAGCTATAATTAGGCAATCAAATACCATTACCGTAACATTAGTTGCATACCTCCCAGGATTGTGCTAGCTTTTATTGTATTTTATAACAATTTAAAGAAATAAACGCGTAATCTACAAAAATTGCTAGATAGGTTTGCATTTTTCTAACGTATTTATTAGCGAAATTTCCATTACATTAAAAAAACACTGCAAATTTCTTTGAATAGTATTGAAAAAATCCCTCAAATGGACTTTTTACTTCTTTATTGTAATTTGTTTTACAATAATAATTATTATTGTTTGTATACGTCAGTAACAGTGTAAAGACTATATAAAATATAATATATTTCGTGTGGGTAATTGTCGTATAAAACTGCAATCGATAAAATAATATTAAAATAATATAACACTATAAAGTTTCAGCAGCATTTTTTTGTAGTTATAATCATGTCATCTTTGACAGAGCCACCGCGCATGCCCAGCGGGCGATTCGCTTTTGTCACTTTGGCAGCCATAATAACAAATCGACCGGTAATTTGACATGCTAGGCGTTCTTTTGATAAAATGAGTATATTATTGCAGTTTTTTGTGTTTCGGTGCGATATTTTAGTGCGTGAGTGACCTTTTTTTGTCTGGAGATGCAATAACAACGATGGTGACAGGGAAAGGGCTTTAAAGGTAAAAATTGTGATTTTGCTTGTTTGAGTTGTTTTTTAATGTTTTTTATTTGTTACAGTGTAAAGACAATATAAAACAAAATATTTCGTGTACCTAGGTAATTGTCGTATAAAACTGCAATCGATAAAATAATATTAAAGTAATATAACATTATAAGGTCGAAGTTTCAGAAGCATTTGTTTCGTGTCATCTTTGACAGAGCCACCGCGCTAGCCCGGGCGATTCGCTTTTGTCATTTTGGCAGCCATAATTGCAAAACGATCGGCAAAGTGCTTGGCTTGGCGTCCTTTTGATAAAAATGCAGATATTATTGACTTTTGTGAGTTTCGGTGCTATATTTTAGTGCGTGAGTTTTTTTTGTCTGGAGATGCAATAACAACGATGGTGACAGGGAAAGGGCTTTAAAGGTAAAAATTGTGATTTTGCGTGTTTGAGTTGTTTTTTAATGTTTTTTTCTTTGTTACAGGTAGGTCCAGTACCTACGTGACTGATTAAGTAGGCAATCAGCAACAAAGTAGTAAGTGATTTTTAAATATTTTTTAGTAATGATAATTTTTAAGTGATTTTATGTTTTAATATTTACATAGGTAATATTTACACTCAAATAAAGAAAATCTTAATTTAAGTATTTACAGATTATCAACATAAAAATAATTGTTTAACGCTTGTTAAAGATTGTAGTAAGGGGACATCCATTCATTACGAAAGGCATTTTTCTGATAATTATAATTTGGACCCCCTCTCCCTTGGTGAGATGTGGTAGATCCCCCTATCCCTCACGTGAGATTTTAGCCATTTTTTTGCCGACAACATATAAAAAAATGATTTTTTTAAAACGTATATTTTTTACAATTTTGCTTTAATCTTAATGAATTTTCCAGGAAATACTTTTCAATATACAAATATGTATTTAATTGTTAAGCTAAAATTTTCAAAATTGTTCTTTTCGCAAAAAAATGGCGAATGCGCCGGGATTAATTTATAAAAGCCTCGTACTTTTTGAAATTTCTTCTAAGTTGTTTTTTTACGTTTTCGAGATCTAAAACTATATTGCAGAGCACTATAGCTTTGCCTCTCGTCTACTACTTTGTTTTCATGTAAAATATCGTATATAGTTGCTTTTTTGACTTTTGCGGGATTTTATGAAAATAATTTTGTTTTAATTTTTTTTTGAAATTTCTTCGAACTTGTTTTTTTACGTTTTCGAGATCTAAAACTTTTTATTGCAGAGCACTATAGCTTTGCCTCTCGTCTACTACTTTGTTTTCATGTAAAATATCGTATATAGTTGCTTTTTTGACTTTTGCGGGATTTTATGAAAATAATTTTGTTTTAATTTTTTTTTGAAATTTCTTCGAACTTGTTTTTTTACGTTTTCGAGATCTAAAACTTTTTATTGCAGAGCACTATAGCTTTGCCTCTCGTCTACTACTTTGTTTTCATGTAAAATATCTTATATAGTTGCATTTTTGACTTTTGCGGAATTTTATGAAAATAATTTTGTTTTAATTTTTTTTTTAATTTCTTCGAAGTTAAATTTTACTTTTTCGAGATCTAAAACTTTTTATTGCAGAGCACTATAGCTTTGCCTCTCGTCTACTACTTTGTTTTCATGTAAAATATCGTATATAGTTGCATTTTTGACTTTTGCGGGATTTTATGAAAATAATTTTGTTTTAATTTTTTTTTGAAATTTCTTCAAAGTTGTTTTTTTACGTTTTCGAGATCTAAAACTTTTTATTGCAGAGCACTATAGCTTTGCCTCTCGTCTACTACTTTGTTTTCATGTAAAATATCGTATATAGTTGCTTTTTTGACTTTTGCGGGATTTTATGAAAATAATTTTGTTTTAATTTTTTTTTGAAATTTCTTCGAACTTGTTTTTTTACGTTTTCGAGTTCTAAAACTTTTTATTGCAGAGCACTATAGCTTTGCCTCTCGTCTACTACTTTGTTTTCATGTAAAATATCGTATATAGTTGCATTTTTGACTTTTGCGGGATTTTATGAAAATAATTTTGTTTTAATTTTTTTTTGAAATTTCTTCAAAGTTGTTTTTTTACGTTTTCGAGATCTAAAACTTTTTATTGCAGAGCACTATAGCTTTGCCTCTCGTCTACTACTTTGTTTTCATGTAAAATATCGTATATAGTTGCTTTTTTGACTTTTGCGGGATTTTATGAAAATAATTTTGTTTTAATTTTTTTTTGAAATTTCTTCGAACTTGTTTTTTTACGTTTTCGAGATCTAAAACTTTTTATTGCAGAGCACTATAGCTTTGCCTCTCGTCTACTACTTTGTTTTCATGTAAAATATCGTATATAGTTGCTTTTTTGACTTTTGCGGGATTTTATGAAAATAATTTTGTTTTAATTTTTTTTTGAAATTTCTTCAAAGTTGTTTTTTTACGTTTTCGAGATCTAAAACTTTTTATTGCAGAGGACTATAGTTTTGCCTCTCGTCTACTACTTTGTTTTCATGTAAAATATCGTATATAGTTGCTTTTTTGACTTTTGCGGGATTTTATGAAAATAATTTTTTTTTAAATTTTTTTTGAAATTTCTTCGAAGTTGTTTTTTTATGTTTTCGAGATCTAAAACTTTTTATTGCAGAGCACTATAGCTTTGCCTCTCGTCTACTACTTTGTTTTCATGTAAAATATCGTATATAGTTGCATTTTTGACTTTTGCGGGATTTTATGAAAATAATTTTGTTTTAATTTTTTTTTGAAATTTCTTCAAAGTTGTTTTTTTACGTTTTCGAGATCTAAAACTTTTTATTGCAGAGCACTATAGCTTTGCCTCTCGTCTACTACTTTGTTTTCATGTAAAATATCGTATATAGTTGCTTTTTTGACTTTTGCGGGATTTTATGAAAATAATTTTGTTTTAATTTTTTTTTGAAATTTCTTCAAAGTTGTTTTTTTACGTTTTCGAGATCTAAAACTTTTTATTGCTGAGCACTATAGCTTTGCCTCTCGTCTACTACTTTGTTTTCATGTAAAATATCGTATATAGTTGCTTTTTTGACTTTTGCGGGATTTTATGAAAATAATTTTGTTTTAATTTTTTTTTGAAATTTCTTCGAACTTGTTTTTTTACGTTTTCGAGATCTAAAACTTTTTATTGCAGAGCACTATAGCTTTGCCTCTCGTCTACTACTTTGTTTTCATGTAAAATATCTTATATAGTTGCATTTTTGACTTTTGCGGAATTTTATGAAAATAATTTTGTTTTAATTTTTTTTTTAATTTCTTCGAAGTTAAATTTTACGTTTTCGAGATCTAAAACTTTTTATTGCAGAGCACTATAGCTTTGCCTCTCGTCTACTACTTTGTTTTCATGTAAAATATCGTATATAGTTGCATTTTTGACTTTTGCGGGATTTTATGAAAATAATTTTGTTTTAATTTTTTTTTGAAATTTCTTCAAAGTTGTTTTTTTACGTTTTCGAGATCTAAAACTTTTTATTGCAGAGCACTATAGCTTTGCCTCTCGTCTACTACTTTGTTTTCATGTAAAATATCGTATATAGTTGCTTTTTTGACTTTTGCGGGATTTTATGAAAATAATTTTTTTTTAATTTTTTTTTGAAATTTCTTCGAACTTGTTTTTTTACGTTTTCGAGATCTAAAACTTTTTATTGCAGAGCACTATAGCTTTGCCTCTCGTCTACTACTTTGTTTTCATGTAAAATATCGTATATAGTTGCTTTTTTGACTTTTGCGGGATTTTATGAAAATAATTTTGTTTTAATTTTTTTTTGAAATTTCTTCGAAGTTGTTTTTTTACGTTTTCGAGATCTAAAACTTTTTATTGCAGAGCACTATAGCTTTGCCTCTCGTCTACTACTTTGTTTTCATGTAAAATATCGTATATAGTTGCTTTTTTGACTTTTGCGGGATTTTATGAAAATATTTTTTTTTTAATTTGCATGCATTTCCTTCTTTTTGACTCTGTAGTCGGTGCTCAGGTTAAAAATTAATTTTAAAATTTAAATTTAATTTATAAAAACCCCGTAACTTTTTAAAAAAGTATTTTACAAAAAATCTGCTAAAGTCACTTCAAGAAAATCATTTTTTTGATATATTCCTTAACTCTTATAAAACTCTTATTAAAATTGTGGATGACACAATTTTTGATGTTAAAAATTAACAATTATTATTTTAAAAACGTATATTTTTTACAATTTTTCTTTA